ATATATATATATATAAAAATGTACATTTTCGTAACAAAAATAGACTTTGATTTTTTTTTCCTTACATTCTGTCCCCCAGGGCTTCCTTGTGCTTCCCTCCCCACCCATCCCATGTTCTCCCATACATTCTTTGAGTAGCATCCCTTCCACTTTAAGGCAAGATGCAAAGCATCCATTGACATAAATGCATGACGTCAGCAAGGCTTCACAAAAAGGCACCAAGACTTGTAACTTTTAAAACAAAAACTTCTGCCACATGTGAGTGTCTCATCAGGTGATATTTACATGGCATCACTCTAACATGCTCAAACACAGTAAGTGCTGTTCCCGAAGAAGTTTGAAACTCATTACAGCATTGTCACTAAAATAGAATTAACAGTTACAAAATATGGCCCTGCAAACTCCAAATAATACAATATGGATATGCAAAGATTTTTCACATCAATAGTACCTAAAGGAAAGCAAAACCATGGCACATGTACAATTTACATCAGCTATGTACTTAATCAAAGGTCCTTTATCCCTAATAAAATATTATTGTTTACGGGGGAAAATTATACTGAACTTAGATCCACAATCCATGCATTTTTTGACAGAGGTGGAAAACTTAAACCACAGCTGCTTCAAGCAACTGAGGTTTAAAGAAAAGTTAGGCAGCCTTGCTACGTATGGTGTTGGGGAGTAATCAAAGACTCCATGTGTGACAGTACCGACAGCAGAGGCAAACACTCCTGCTCCAGAAAGAGGGCTCAGCAGATCTCAATTGTCCTTGGAGAAAACGTTGATGTCATTTCTGAGAGCACTGAAGTCCCTTGTGAGCTGAAATTGTTGGCGACCCCTGGTGATGGGAAGGAGGTGGCCACTTGGGTCTGAAAAGTGGCTGTGCCTGAGGGGTAGGTTGTTGCGATAGAGGGAGACGGGAAGGTGGTGTGTGCTGGGGAGGAGTAGGAAGAATGGACTGGGGAAGAATACAAGGTGCGCACTGGTGAAGGGTAAGTGGTGGCAATGGAGGAGTGGTAGGAGGTGGCCACAGAAGATGAGTAAGCAGGAAGTGGTGAAGCAGTTGAAATTGGTGGTGTCTTATCCACTTTCTTGTCCTTTTGCCTGAGATGGATTTTAGTGTGTCTCTTCCTCTCATCACTCCTGGCGAACTTTCTGCCACAAATGTCACAGGCAAATGGCTTCTCCCCTGTGTGTGTGCGGATGTGTGTGGTCAAGTGGTCACTCCTGCTGAAGTTCCTCATGCAAATGCGGCACTGGAAAGGCTTCTGTCCTGTATGGATGCGGATGTGCCGAGTTAGCTCATCAGACCGTGAAAACCTTCGGTCACAGGACTCCACCGGACAGGCATAGGGCCGCTCGTGAGGAGGGGTCTTGCTGGGGCGGTTAGGGTATTTCCTCATCCTGCTGGGCTTGATCAGCTGAGACTGATAGTTAGTGTTGAGGGTCTTCAGCTCTTGGGAGCTTGTCTGGGTGGCAAATGCCTTGATAGTGGACAGTGGTGTGAGGGATGGCTGCTGTGCTCTGCTCTCAAGGGTTGGGAAGGGCTTCTGATCAGCTGCAACAATGCTGAGCTCACCCTGTTGCTGAGGGAACAGGTAATCCGGGATCATTGGCACCTGAAAGTTGGTTTTAGCAGCTGGATAAGCTGGAGGTGGATATTGGATGGGTGCTCCAGAGGAGTTAGGAAAGGACTGGGTCTGTGGTTCAGGGAAAATATCAGAGCTGGAGCTGGGAAAAGTTGGTGCAGCCGAATAAATTGGACTGCTTTCGCTGGCTTGGGCAGAACAGCTCAGAGGAGGACTCTGTGATGATGAGGATGGTGATGATGAAGACGATGTGGAGGTGGAAGGCGGGTTCGCCATGCCCACCAGCCCACTGACCAGGCTGAAGAGGGGCTCTGGCCACAAGGTGTTGCCACTGTTGGTTGCCGGCTCCAAAGAGAAGCGCCCAGTGTAAGTTATGGGCGGCAGCCGCGTTGTCTGGTTAGGATAGCTCGTCTCTGGCAAGGCTTTCTCATTATTCAAGGAGATGTCAGGAAAAGTGTCTGAAAAGAGAAGAGCAGTGATTACTTCTAAGAGTTGCTGCAGCTCCAGAACTACTGTCAGTGCTTTGTGAGCCTTCCCTGCGCAGCACAGCCCCAGGTCGTTGCGTCTGGTTAATTAATAATTGAGTGTAACATATTGCAGCGCTGCTGGCAGGTCTCCAGCGGCAGCGAGCCCGGAGCCGCTGACGCAGGCAGGAGGATCCCCCCGCGCAGCGGCCGGGACGGGCAGCTGCAACGCGGAGCCCCGCAACCGCAGCCGCCGCGGCGCTGCTCGCCCGCCGTGGGGGGCGCGCTTACCTGCCGCAAGGTGCTCGAAGTGCTGCTCCCCGGGCTCCCCAGGGGCGCCGAAGCCTCCGCTCTCGGGCGCYCCGGGGGGCGCGAGGAACTGCGGGCCGCCGCCGCTGAGCAACATCATCTCCTCCAGCTTGGGGTAGTGACTGTCCATGGCGGGGGGCGAGTGCGGAAAGGCGCCGAAGGGGTCGGAGATCTGCAGCGGGGGCAGTAGCTGCATCTCTGCCTTGGCTGCGGCCATGGGGGCGCCGGCCCGGGACTCCGCCGGGTCGAGCCGCCGCCGCGGGCCCGGCGGACGGGCCGGCTTAGGCTAGGGCTGGGGCTGCGGCGAGGCAGCCGTCGCCTGCTGCCTGCCCCGCGCCGCCCGCGGCTGCCCCGCCGCTGCCGCTGGAAGCGCTCAGCTTCCCCGCCCGCCCGCCGGCCCGAGCTCCCCCGCCGCTGCCCTCTGGAAGCGCTCGGCTCCCCGCCCGCCCCGTGCCGCCCCTATATATCGGGTCTCACCGGCCGTGGCCCGCCCCGGCCCTGACGTACATGGCCATATATGGGAAGCAGGAAGCCCTAATATGGAGGCCAGCCGGAGGACTCTGCCTGGCGTCAGCGCCTGGCACCGGGGGAAGCCGGGCGATGGGGYCCCCGCTGACCCCCATCGGGGGCCTCGCGTCACCCTGAGCCGGGCCCCCATCGTGGGCAGCGAACCACAGCGCTGCCAGAGGGGCTCTGGCCCGGGGCGCGGGGCCATCGGCCCCCGCCGTCAACCGGCCCCCGGAAGCCTCCGCCGCACTGTCCATATTTGGAAAGCGCCATATAAGTCTCGGTTCCGGCGGAGCCTTCCCGCGCCTTATATGGCAATTCCGGCCCCGGGTTGGGGGGGTGCGGGGAGTCCGCTAGCCGCAGCCGGGAGCCGCCGGGCCGCGCCCGCCTCCGCGCCCGCCCCCGATGCGGGAGCGCGCAGGTGGCTGCGGGCGGGGAGCGCCGGGGAGGCCCCGCATCGGGAGAGCCCGGTGTCCCCCGCCGCGCCCGCAGCCAAGGAAGCTCCCGGGCGAGCCCGGCAGGGGAACCGCGGGTCCCGCAACCCGGCGCTGCCGCACAGCGGCGGCTCCTGGCTCCGTGCGCTACCCCCTCGCTGAGAGCGCAGCTTGCTCCACACACAGCTCCCCCGCTGGCGCCCCGGAGCGGCTGCCCCGTGCGGGGCACCTCCCCCGCAGGCGGGGGAAGCGTGCGCGGCGGCGTTCCGCGGCAAAGCGTGCTGTAAGCGGGGCCGCGCAGCCACCGCCGGTGCGCGGGGCTTCCCTGGCGCCGAGCCAGGCGGCACCAGCGACGCAGTGCGGCCGCAGTGCGCCTGCGCCGCCGGGCTGGGGCTTCCCCGCAGTGCGCGGCGCTCCACGGGGGGCGCCGGCGCCGCGGCCGCTGCCGCCGGCCTGGAGGCTCCGCGGGCAGCTGCGTCTCGGCTGCCTCGGCCCCACGCTCAGGTCGGGCCTCACCGCCTTGTTCAGTCCCTTCCAGTCCAGGCGCTCGGGATTCAAGGCAGCGGCCCTCACCTCCTCGGGAGGAAGGCGTTTGTGGGAAGCTCGGCACCGCCTGCTCGCTCTGGAGCAGCGCTGTCTTCACAGCCACATCATGTGGTCCCCATCGCGCTGTGCCTCTTGCACTAACGTGTTCTGCACCAAAGCCAGCTGTGATTGTGGCCACACAATGCCTGCAGGAAAGCTGCTGCTTCTCTGCAGCCTGCATTGCTTAGTGCAATTGGCCTGTTGGCTGGAGGGGAACTGTACCATTTTCAGTGTACCATTTTCAGGCCCAAACAATTCTAAGATAATGGGATTCAGTACTTTTATATTTTTAGCATTTTCAAGTATCTAATACAGGTTTTGAGACGACCTGTTCAATGAATACAGCTGTTCTTTGATTCCCATCAACCTCTTGCAGCCCTCTTGGAGGAGCTTGCACAAACACATGGGCTGCTGCAGAAGCACTGAAGATTGGGGGTGGCAGGGGCCACTGGAGCCCCCTGGTCCAGTCCTACGCATGCAGGGTGACTGGGAGCAGGCCACCCCAGGCAACTTGCTCCAGCATTCAATCACTCTTGTTGCAGAAAGGGCGACTCTTGCCTTCAAAGGAATTTCTTGTATTTCAGTCTGCCTCTTGTCCTTTATTAGATACCACTGAGAAGGGCTTGTCTTCATGCCTTCCTGCAAGTTTTTATGTGGTCAGATTTGTCACCCTTTGCTGGACTTAGTCCAGATGTCTAAGTCCATTTTGTGCAAAGAGACTAGCTGAAGGGCTGCAGAGTAGTGCAACTTGCTTGAGTTCCACATAAATGGAATGATGACTATTTTGGACATATCCTTCCCCATTTGTTGAGGGCTCCAGGCCTTAGCGAAGTACGAGCTGCTTTGAGGCAGTTATTGGGCTGCACACAAGCAAGCTACAAACAGTACTAAGCTACTGAATAGCCTGTTGGCATTCACACAGTGGAATAAATGACATTTGCTAGTGAATTCATGTTCCATAGTCCCCCTTTTCTTTTTTTTTTCTCTTTTTTTTTCTTCCAAATACAGTAGCAGATCCGTAGGAACTGCACTGCAAGAGAGATTTTTCACTCCTGAAAAAACATATTTGTTTAGTTAAGATTGAACGAAGTTTTGGTGAGATTGACTGGAAACAGTGAATGAAAGCATTTGTAATAAGTGGAGGAGTTAAATGTTAGAATAAGGTAATGTTTGTGCTTTGTTTCCTAGGTAGCATAATTTAAATGACCAAAGGGTTTGCCCTTATAGATATTTTAAAATGAATAARTTTCTAAAATGGGAATATCTTAATAAATTTTTAACACTTGTTGCTCCTAGTAGAAATTTGTTGCTCCTAGTAGAAACACAGAAGTGTATGAGTTTATCAGTAAGTCACAATTGTTTGAAATATTAATACTTTAGTTGTGATTTTCTGATGAAAAAACACCTCTTTCTCAAGTTTCCTTGAAAAATCCACTATCATCGAATGTATGTGTTGTCTTTCAACTAATTTCAGTGAGAGAAATGCTATTCCAAGGACATGGAGAAGCAGTGTTGTATAATGCTCCATGAATTAACCACCCATCTCCCTTTACTTGCATAAGCCACTCAGCACGAAGGGTACAGAACAGTACAAAAACCTGCACCATTAGATTTCTCCATTTTTCCTTTTATCTGATTTTTTTTTGTGCCCCCCCCCTTTTTTTTTTTCATTTACAGGTAATTTATTTCAGAAGAATTTCTTTTCCATACTCAGACAAGACATTACTCTCTGTTTAAAACAGGCATAAAATATGGCTGTGGTAATAACAATGGCCAGGTGGTGGGACCAAAATTCCTCAGTCAATATAAAAAATACTAAAAGGCTCAAGTTATTTCCATATATTTCTCAAAACATTTTTTTTTCTGACTTCTGTCAGAAAAATGCTCTTCACATCCTCTTTTTTTCCCCTTCCTTTTCAACACCATAAAGAAATTTATTTCAGCTTATATTTGGTTCCCAAGGTACAGACTACTATCACTCGCTCAGCATGGATTGTGCTGAACACTCTAACTGAAATACATCCCTTGGAAAAGCTTTTTTCTTGTTGTGTTTTTTTCCCCCCAAATCCGAAACAATTGAGAGATAGCAAATTCATTGCTTTCTTTTGTAGCTTATTTTAAAAGTCAGTTACCTTCATTTTAATCAATGTAACTGTAATTTAACAGTTCTGATAAGGGGCAAGAACATCAAAACAAAAAAAAAGTCTAATTTACATAATTCATCTTTAGATTTATAAAAATGCTCTTTAATATGTCCTTTTTCTGATGGAAAAGAGCCCATCGGAATTACTATTTTCTSTAAAGCTGCTTTTACATTGTAATCAAGTTCTCTCATCTCTTTTTTCCTCTCTCCTTGATAAGGTAAACAGTCCGGGATCCTGAAGTCTTTTGCTGTTAGGCAATTTTCTCTACATTTTTCTCCAGTTTATAAGCAGTTTTTAAACCTCTTCAATTTGTCAAATTCTAAAAGTATGGAAGCCACACACACACACATTATTCCAGAACTGGTCTTACTACTATCTGTAGGTAAGTACCTACTGTACCTAAGTAAGTGTAAGTACCTATCAGAGGTAAGTACCTCTCTGTTAAGGACAGCTATATTCTAGCACCTCCTCTGCCTCTGTTGTGCATTATTTCTTCCCCGCTACATTTGCCACAAGCCTCAGAGCATTGCTGTCATGCAGGCTGCAGCTCTTTGTGGTGTAGCTGATTCTCTGTCCTTAGGTTTAGGTTTTTGCACTCTATCATCATCCACAAACCCCATGAGCTATGACTAAGCTTATTTTTGAAGAACTTCTTTTTTAATTACACTATATAGTGTCGTGCTTACTATTTATTTCTACACAAGTAGAAAACAGATGTGTTTTGACAAGACCCAATTTCTACTAAATCATGCTTATGACATTCATTATAGTCCCATAGTCCCATTATTTGATTCTTTAATGAGTGAAACAGTGTTGTTTATTATTTTGCTGAGGATTTTTGTTGCATTAACTGCACTGTCTTGCTTGCTTTTTGCTACTATAAGCAACACTGGTATACTTCCTTACTGGAATTTATCTTGAATTATAAAACGTGTAAAATACAGTTGCAGTGGAGAAGACGTATCAGCAGTCTGTTGTATTAGGATTCTTGCATACAAGTGGGATGACTATTTTTGCTGTAGTGGTTTCTTTTATGTCACTGATTAATTGTTGTTATCTGATAACCATTTTTGAAATAAATAATTTTTGTTGTTGTTGTTGTTGTTTGCATTTTACCCTATAATATTTTTCACAAAGCATTTTCTCTGGTTTCTCTATGAAACCATTCCTTTTTTTGAGGGTCCAGTCATACTTCTGAGGATATCTGATCTCTACCAACTGCAGTCAGGTGATGATACCTGGGTAACCATGGAAGTCCAGCTCCAGCAGGAAAATTACTTATTTTCCTTCTAGCAACAAGGTAATTTACTTATTGCATACTTTATCCTATATGTAAAAAAAGGAGAAAGTTATACTTTTAAATATAAGAGTTTTAGGCACTGGCAGCATGAGACACCCAGAGCACTTCCTGAGCTGTATCTTAGTGATAAAAACAGATGTGGATTTAGCAGAGCTATGACCCATTCAGCTGCAAGTGCCACCTCAAGTAAAGCATTCATTGCAATATCAGGCACAGCATCTGCATGACTGCACAGTCCTCATGTCGAAGTCAGTGTTATATTTGTCCATTATTATGCCATTTTCTG